TCTAGCTAAAAAATTGCGAAGCTATTATTATTTCATGGTCATTTGAGGGGCTTGGAGGACAAAGTGCATAAGTGTAGCTGTGCGCCTGATAAAAGGGTTAAATTGTAAATTTAATTATAAAATTATATAATATTGAATATTATTAGTTTGATTTAACTTAAAATTGTAATAAAATAAAAATAGAATCCAATAAGACACAAAAAACAAAAATCTTTCAAGAAACACGTGATAAAAGTTTCAAAATTACATGGAGCCTCACGGCAGAAAGGAAGTTTAAACTCCCTTCTTCGTGCTTTAAAGGTGGATTTTATTTGTGAGTGTTTCACAAAATATACCCATAAACTAGTTTCAGCTCAGTTTATGAATACCTCAATTTTTTCAGAAACTGCACTTATGCGCCATTTCCTCCAAGCGCCTCATTTCAACGTCCATTTGAACGGAGCTGTCAAGTTATTTCAACCGAACCTATCCGAATCATTCCAAATACCCTTTTAACGATCCTTTTCTCCCGATGTGTGTCCTGAAACGAGGATGTATTTAAACGTATTTATGTCAAAAGGAACTATGTCTCGCACAAAACCTATGCAAATGGTTCCTTTTAGCATAAACGCGTCCATTTTAACGAGCTTCCTCTCCATTTTTCGAAGCAGGGATTGGCCGAATGGATTGAATCTTCCGCTCGTCGTCGTCGGTGCCTTTATCTCGGAGCTCTCGAAAACGCGGAAAATGAAGTGAAGTCCTTGTGTTTTTCGCGAAGTGTGTCAAGTGTTTTGACGGTCGGACTCGCGAACGAGCGGTGGCTCGATAAGGTGCCACCACGAACAGTGAACACATTAGCGTTCTCGCCAGTGCCAATGAGTTGAGCTAACCCCGGTCGGGCGGTGAATTTTACGCGAGTCGAACCCCCTTGAGCCCCCATCCCCCCTCCTCCGCCCCCTCGGTCAGTGACGATGCACGCCGAAGAGGAGGATTGTGAGTACGAAGTGACGGTGAACCGATATGGGAGCATCATCGATATTCGACCCATCAACCTCAGGTAAGCGTGAGGAGTTTCCCGGGGAAGTCGGTTGCTGGGATTGGGAATGGGAAATTTCCCGGGAATCATCGCAGTGCTATCATTTTATTCCACTAGAGATTCAGGTATTAGTTGCGATCTCTTAAAGTTCCGAGAAAAATTCTGATTTTTTCAAAAGTTCCGGGAAAAAATTCCGAAGTTCACCCGGATTGTGTTCCAAAAATCGGCAAGTTTGATAAAAAAAAATCGGTCGAACTGACGAAGTGCCCTGAAATTTCGTCAAAACTCAAAAAAAAAAAAAATTCCGAACCAGAAATTTCGAAGATTCCAAGAAAAGTTTCGATTGTTTGAAAAGTTCTGAATTTCGGAACTAGTTCCGGGAAATAGCAGCACTGAATCATCGTGAAAGTTCTTGAAAATGTTCCCGGTGGCCTCCTGGAAAAAAAAGGTCGCTTGGATCTAGAGGAGGGGTGCAGACACTTCCGTAGGGGGAACCCATGTGAGGACGAGAAAAATGGGGGAATACCCTGTGGAAAAGAGAGGGTTTTTTCTTCTTCTTTTTTCCCCCTTTTTGCAAGGTGGGGAACGAAACATTCAAGCGTGCTGTTTTTGGGGAACAAAACCGTTGATCGCGTTTCTATGTGTCGGGCAGAATTCCGCGAAAACTTTGAAATGAGGAAACCTTTTATTATGACGGAACTCATGGAAGTTTCTGCCCCCCTGATCTAGGGTCCAGACTCTTAAAACTTTGACAAGAAAAAACACTCTCGATTCAATCGGATTTTTTCTTGAACCAAACAGATTCACTTAAATTAAGAAGCTTGGCTCTCGATTCAATCAAAATCCGATTTAATCAAGGGTAATTTTTCTTGTCCATGTTTTTTTAAGAGTCGGGGCTTAAGATCCAAGCTACTCTTTTCCAGTGCTCGCTTTTTGTAGGTGATTGGCGTGTATGTGTGGGTTTGCGTGTAAGGGTGCATGAGTGTGATTTTCTCACCATATTTATCGGAGAAAATAGATTTTAGCCCGTTAATTCCCGGAAAAAGGAAGCACGAAAGCTTTTATAGAGATCCCGTGATAAGCATGCATCTTTCCACGTCGACGTGTTAGATATGGAAATTATTTAAACACCCTAAACACCAAGGACGCGGCGTGGAAGTGAGAAGTCTAAAACTGTGAAGGATGCAACCTTGATTTGTGAGGGAGGGGGCAGGGAGGGACACGGGACACCCCCTCCCTGTCTCGGATGGATTCAGCACTCTTTCCCTCGAAGGTATTACGGTAATATTATAAAATACTCCTCTCAGGGACTGGACATGCAACCCGCACCAACCAATGCAGCCCCCGCGGGAATAATTGAAAAAACATTCTTTCCTCCTTTATTTTTTTTTATTTTATTATTATTATCGTGTTCCTGAAATTTCAGAAATACATGTAGGAACTTTTAGTTGAAATGGCGCCCTTTTTCACAAAGTTTAGGGCAAAGTTTTTTAATGACTTAATGTGGAAATACAAAGATGACAAATCGTCACATTCCGCCAAAGTATCACAAGCGCCATGCGAGGTTTAAAAATGTCCGCCACCCTTCTATTTTCTTACAGAGAAATTTTTGGTTGAATTTGTTCGAAAATTTCACTGAATTTAATTGGCAGCACAAAAAAAACTCGGTGAAATTTTCGGACGGCTCCGTTGAAAAATTTCTCGGTACAAAAATAAAACGGCGGCGGAAATTTTCACACCTCGCATGGCACTTGTGATACTTCAGCCGGAAGGTGACAAATCGACGGTGAAAGTCGGCAATCACATAACTCGGTTTGCGACGTCGCAGACTTCCTGTCATACTTTATTTTTTAAACGGAAAACTACTCAACGGTAATTCTTTAAAACTGCCGTGATTTTTCTTCTATGTGCGCGAGGAAAATTCTGCAAAAACTTCAAGGAATCATGTCCATTTGTTCTCCTTTAAAAAAATAACATAGTTGCGGAGATTTTCAGACACCGCAAACGAGTTATGTGATTGCCGACTTGCACCGTCGAAATACTTGTAGTCCAGGCGCCTGGTAGCTAAAAATGAGGCTACCTGGAATTTTGGGTACACAGCGATTTTTTTGGCTTACTTTATGTTTTTTGGGTCGCTGAATCCGAATCTGAAGTTTCCGCAGGCGTATCTGGTGAGCATTTTCCGCTATTTTGAAAAAATGGCCTAAAAAGGCCTTTTTTTGCGGCTTTTTTGATATAGCGGCTACGGATGAGGAAAAGTCCCGGATTTAGCTAATGTTTTGAATAGCTGACAAAATTTGGAAGAAAATGGTATATGAATATGCTAGGTTTGCTCAAAAATTGAGGAACCTCGGATTTCGGAACTTTAGAACGCTTCGGAACTTGGCTGACCGCGGCGAGCCGGATCGCGCGTTGACGGGTGCGCCGCGAAAACGTGAATAGGCGCGATGTTCACGATGCTGTATCTTCCTCAATTTTTAAGCAAACCTAACATATGTATACATCATTTTCTTCCAAATTATGTCAGCTATTCAAAACATTAGCTAAATCCGGGACTTTTCCTCATCCGTAGCCGCTATATCAAAAAAACCGCAAAAAAAGGCCTTTTTAGGCCATTTTTTCAAAATAGCGGAAAATGCTCACCAGATACGTCTGCGGAAACTTCAGATTCGGATTCAGCGACCCAAAAAACATAAAGTAAGCCAAAAAAATCGCTGTGTACCCAAAATTCCAGGTAGACTTACCAGGCGCCTGGACTATTGTCGATTGTGGAAACTTTCGTCCCGCGCAGATACGTGCAAAACCGGCCAGCGAAAAACGAAGATTCTCCCAGCATCGCTGTATTCAGCAGTAGCGAGCAATTGAATGTGTCAATCACAATGTGTCGCGCCGATTTGCGATTTTTTATATGCGATGTTCGGGACGTGACAAATGATAGCATTATTACTGACCGCGAACACGCCGCTCGGACGAGACGCGTCGCGTCGCGCGTCAAGACGAAATGCTATCTAAACGATACTTACAATCGATAAGTAGTGGCTTCAAACCAGCCGTTCGCTAATCCAACGGTATGAAAACATTTGTACTGCCGTGTTATGGAAAAACGCCGTATGAACATTCCAGAGTTGCTAAATTTCCTTCGATAGAGTGTTCGTTTTGGAGGGATATTATGAATTTTTTTCCGAGAAATTATGAAGAATTTCAGGTAAAATTGCGAACAAAATCATCTGAAAAGTTGGAAGAAAAATTTTTACAAATTGTCCCGAAAATTCACGATTTTCCAACGGAAATTTGGCAACGCCTGAAGGTTCATACGGCGTTTATCCTTAGCATGGCAGCGTATATACAAGCGCCAGATGGGGTACCCTCCTGGAGCTTCGTACGCTCCAAGTTCAGCTGTGTCGCTTCTTGCAAGTTGGTATCGCCATTTTTCCTTCACTTGAATCCATTATAAACAAACAATTCTATGCGAGGCAGCCCACTTCGATAAATGTCCATTGTTTAAACAAGAAAAATACGCAGTAAAATGTGGCCCGAACTATATGTAACGAGGTGGTAAAACAGTGATGGGTCCGCACTGTTTTGCGGGCAAAGCAAGGTCAGAAAGCCCAACAATTGCAATTCGAGTCAAACATTTTTGAGCTCTAATGTTCGGCTCTATTAATGTTTCTAATGTTGAGCTCTATCGTTCAAATGAATCGCGTTTAACAGAGGAAACCCAGCAGGCTGCAGATTTTTTCGGAGGCTTCCTAGAAAATTGCGGAGTCCTAGTACAATTTGCACCCCCGGTCCCGGTGGTTGTTGAAAACAATCTGTCCAGCAGGGGTGCACAAAATGCTCCATAAAATCACATATCTGCACAGGAAAAGTAATGGCACTTCTCTTGTTTCTGAAATGAGTCACCAACAGTGGTTTCCCGTAGCATTGCTGAAAAATGCTCTTGTTTTCTCGGTGTAATCGATCTTGTTTTCTCTCTTTGTTTCAGGGCATATGAGATGCCTCAAGTCTCAACAAGTCCTCAGGGGCAATGGAGTCATGGTCTCAGCTCCCTCCTGGCTTCACTGGGCTGCACTTTGGGGATTTTCAATATCAGTCGTTTCGCTATCCTCAGCGTCCATTTTGGTGGTAAGTTGAATGGAGAATTTGCACGCAAAGTATTGCTTCATCTGAGAACGCTTAAAGACCTGATTTCGCAGTATTTTGGATAGTTTTTTCCCGAAATGGGAAATAGTATAAAAATAGCTTTAAAAATGAGGAAATGCACCGCCCAGTGACGTCGTCTGGCGGCTTCTCTCATTGAAACACGTATATTCCAGCAGAGTAGATCATTTTGTCATGTCTTCTCCGATAAGTGCTCAATTTTTGAATCAAGGGTATCCTCGTATTCAGTTCACTAAGTAGTTTCCCCCTAAACACGAAATTCATCAAATTTCAGACCCTTGCAAATGCTCCATTTGTAATCATTCCGTCTATATCGCATTTTTTTGGCCGAAAAACAGTTCGGTCGTTCTTAGGAAGAACGCCGCACTAACCTTTGTACGTTGCCAAATTTTCTTTGCTAGAATACACATTTTCAGGTAAACTTGTGAATATTTCCCTTTCAATTTTCCAGAGATTTCTCTTCGCAATGTGATCTGAAGTATCTGAAAAGTTCAAGCAGAAATATCCATACTTTTTCTCAAAAATCAATATTTTTAGAAGGGAAATTTGGCAACGTGCGAATGTTGATAAGGTATTTTCCCTCAATATGGCAGTATTAGACTGCGACACTTACATACTGATTTGGCGCGCGATCGCGTAAACGCGCTTTAGGCGGATTAACTTGAGTCGGCGAAAACGTAGAACTCGATTCATTTTAATTTCTCAGCTTGGATACAGGCCTGGCCTGGCAGCCTCCAGCAGGACGGTTTTTAACCAGTCGTGGATAATGATTTCCCCCGCCTGGCGTCAAACCGGGGGTCCTTGGCCATGACTCCTCGTCGCCCTAGCTACTGACATAAGGACGCAACTTCACTTCGCAATGAGCCCTACTGCCTACATAACTCAATGCTTCTCCGAGCTTATCACGATAAGTACTTACGCTCTTTTGTCAGGCGAACGAAGTCTTGACACGCTTCGCGAGTCGGGTTTTTCTTCTACCGTCTCTCGCCACTTCATTCATCGAAAGAAGAAAATCAGTCGAGTTCAATTGATGACTTCGTAGAGCCACACTCAAAAATGTTTTTACGCATCTTTGTTCTTACCAGCCTGAGCGCTCGCTGAATCACCCCGAACGGAGGAAAAAAACTTGGTTGCCAAGACCGGATCCGGAACACTGAAGTTTTTCGGTCCAGGTAACCGGAATATTCGATATTAGGAACCGAACTCATAGTGGAATTTTTCGGTAAAGATTAGGAGTCTCAGTTAGGCCAGCGAAAATTGTGGCTCAAAGTTTAATTCCTGCGACTGAAAACTTCGATCACCATTACCAAAAGCTTTGGCGGTCCGTATAAACTGATTTTTTTCGTGAAAATGGTGTTTATGGAGAACCGCTTAACATCCCCGCGTCATAATTGGATTGAATTTGGAAAAAGGAACCAAGAGTTTTCCAATGCTGCAAGGATAGTGCATCTTACATTCTTTGTGATAAAATATTGAAGCCATGCAAGAAATTAATTTTACAAAGGTGATTTTCGTCTTGAACTAACAATTTATCGAGGGTAAAGATAAAACCTGTTCGGACGATCAGTTTATATTTGCAAGGTAAACAAATTTGCACTATCTTAGTGACAGTGGGATGCTCTTGGTTCCTTTTTGCTAAATGCAATCCATTTATTAGACGTTTGATGATAGCGGACCTATCTAGAGATCGTCAGAGTCACGAGAAGAGGCCCGGTAGATCGCTAACAAAATTGGATGACATTTTGCAATTAGGAAAACTTTAATTTCTGGCCCATTGTAGAAACAACGTATGTGCCATCAGTCTCCCTGTGCAAATAGGTGATTTTGTGGATGAGTCAGAAATAGTAGCTCCTGATTGCAAAAAACAGTCCAATCGACAAGAAATACAAATGCGTTGCACGAGAGCCTAAAGTAATAATATAACTTTTGAGTTCCGATTTAAATTAAATCTTTGGAAGTGTGATTCAGTTAATACTTCCGTTCGTGTTCTTCAAAATGGATTCATGTCGAGAATAGTTCAATAATAAGCGTATTTTCGTTCTGAATCGGGTGAAGTGGAACTCCAAGATGTTAAATTGCGCATGCAAAAACTTAAGAATACCTGGTTGTTTTGGGGTGCCGATAGAACCCAAGACCTCAGATACGACAAAATCCAAGCAAATAGGTAACGGATTTAGTTGCAGCGTATGCCTCAGATATCATCAGTGCTGCGAAATTAAAATATTTTGATCAGACAGGTTGCGCGTTATCGGAGTTCTACTCCACCCAATCCTTAATGAAAATACGCTTCATGTGTCGATTTTATTTGCGCTGCACTGACGGTTTCCACGCCTAATTTTTCGTTTCGATGATTCCTACTGGGACTTTCCGACTTTTTTTCCGACTTTTCGGAAAGAACATTCCAGTTTCGGAGCCATGCCTATTTGCATGCAATTTGGAACTATAAATTCTGGCTCTTCTGGAAAAACACCAATGTGTATCGGGAAACTAATGGCACATACTTTGTTTTCAAACCGGGCTAAAATTTATAGTTCCAAATTGCAAAATGTAGTCCAAGTAATGCAAAGCTGCATTGGGAGGGCGGGATGGCTTTTGTAGCCGGCTAAAGTTGTTGAAAAATTGAAAATTTTGCGTTACGTAATTTAGATAAAACTCCTCAGGTATCGAAAGGGAGACCTAAAAAACCTTCACGGTGTCTTCACCGTGAAAAAATGCTTACAGCCTGAACACCTGGGCACGGGACCGTAAAAACCTCCTACGAAAATCCTCCCGAAAAAGCCTCGAATTATGAATCGAGAGCGAAAGGTAGATTAGAAGAATAAAAAATGAAGCTAATCGGTCTGGTAGTTTTGCATGCGCATACCTTCGATACTTATTCAGGTGGGCATCATCTGAAGATTTGACCCTGACATTACGTTATCTGTAATAATGACACTATTGCGTGGCGCACACGCGTTGCGCCTTGTCTTAGAAACCCCATGCCGATTTTGGGCCACTTGCCGGTGTTGACAGATTTGATGAAGATTTTATGCGAATTTTTTAGATCGAATGTGATACTCAGTCGTACGCGTAGATGATTCAGAGTTATCGTGAGCTACAGAGGCGCCATTTGTCAGTTCTTCTATTATATTGTTTTATTTTTGAAAAATGTTCTCATTATGCGTAACTTAGTTGGAACTTGGAACCAACTTGGAACCCGCCTCCATGCCTAGTAATTATGGCTCAGGCTCTGGTATAGCCTCTAGTTCCATAGAAGCAACCCAGGGTCCGGTTCCCGGTTATTTTGGTTCCGATTCCACTGAAACACTTTTGGTTCCAGGATTCTGAGTGCCGGGCTCCACTTCGGTTCGTATCCTCAACTTTTCCCTTCCTCGACTTTCGGTGAACTTATTTTTTTAAATTTACAGACAAATATGGCGTGTTTTGGGACTATGTATTTGCTCACTATCTTCGCATGGAGATTTTGTCTTGATGTAGAGGTGGACTCTCAGGATAGCGAGGGATATCCCCTCCATTTTGGCCTCAACTTGAAAGCTTTTTTTGAGCTTTGGAGTTGATTTCAGAGAAAACCAGTGGCACCATCGGGTTTCTCGCGAACTTTTACATGTGAATCGTTAGTCAAATGGCAAATTCCTCACTCATGCAACGTCTCCATTCATCATATCCCCAGCACTATTTTTGCCGGCCAAAAAATTCAGTCCATACACACGGACCTCTATACTCCGGCGCATGCAATAAAGAAACTGTGTTTCAATAGCAGCAGGCTGATTGTTGAAATTGATAGACAAAGCTATAGACGAAGAAGACAAAAAGGGCATTGAGGATCCTTTTGGTGGAAGCGGGTGGTTGCAATGGACAAAGAAGGTAGATAATAAACTAATTAACGGCAACCCACGTACGAGAGACTCTGAAGTTAATCCATCATGTTCTCCCTTACTAGTCTATAGGAATCAACAATTTCAACCAATAGGATCGCTCCATGCTCCCTATGTCTTTCTTTATTGTCTTTAGCTTTGTCCACAGACAAGCGACTCAACCGGAATCCGAATCCGTCAGATAGAATCGCGATAGGCATGTATGCACCGAGAGCCACGAAGGAGGAAGAAGATGCGCCCCCCCCTTTCCCGTTTCAAGCACGCGAATTTCGTTGTAAGGTTACACATGTACGTATGAATATTTATATTTCGGTAGGCTTTTGCTTACACGGTGTAAATTAGTTAACTCCGCAATTTTCCTGATAACCGCCATTGTTCTCGAGGCTCTTCGTGGTAAAATGGATCGTATTCGATTCATCGAACAGGTGGGATCGTATCGATATCGATTGGTTCAACATGTAAACATAGCCTCTAAAGTGAATTGAGTCAGCCGATGGTACGGGTTTTTTGTGATAGATTTTTGAATCTTATGAGTACCAAATGGCAATGAAAGGTGAAATCGTTACGAAGTTTCTCATTTTCAGCTAATTCAGTTTAAATCCTAAAGTTTTTGTTTGAGGTTATTTCTATCGTTCTGAACCAACCGATACATCGAACTACTATTGAATACGATATGCTCTCATTTTGTAAGATGGTGGAGAATGCAGGGGTTGTAGAAGTGGGAGAAAGAGAGGATGACCACTGACCAGGAGATTTGATCTGATGTTTCTTAAACGATGGCGATTCTCAGAGTGGCGATTCAGTGGCGATTCTCAGAGTTGGCAGCTCTGTTTTTTCTTCATTTAAACAGTAAAATAATCGATTTTTAAAGACAAGGCTGTCTCGCTCTAAATAGATATTTTCGATGGATTTAAATGGAGGGAGAAAGAGCTGGCAACTCGCGAAAATTGCCACTGAGGATTGGAAGTTCGGTAAATTCTGAGCAGGATCACGTAACATTATAGGCTTCGCTAAAATGGAGATGTTGCATGTTTGAGGAATTTGCGATTTGACTATTGACTCCTCTGTAAAAGTTCGCGAGAAACACGA